AAATGCTGGGAAACAGGAGCAGAGCCTTCCACAGAGCTTCTACTTTGTTGGAAGGGAATGATTCCTACATGGTTGTTAGCTGAACATTGAAAGTGTTTGAGTTCTGTATAGATGATGTTTGGCCAGCTCTAAAAAGACTTTGGGTACATGAAAAAGATCATTCCTTCTCTATTTTGAGGTCTCTTTCTCCTGTACATTGACACTGGGGCCATAAGTTGTACAGGGCCTATGAGTGGTTAGACAAAGTTTCTAATTGCTCAGTTAATTCTCCTTTGCACACAGCACACATTTATCAGCTTGTGTGTTTCTGTTTTAAACTAGAAAATATGATCATTGCAGTCCTACAGAATGTCTTCTTTAGTTCTAAAACTGTTTAGCTTGGAATTTGACTCTAAGATACCAGGATGCCACAGTAAAAATCTCCTTGGTCACTAAAGTGTCTAAGTGTTGAGTCCAGTAGGTTCTTAGCTATTTGGCTGAATTTTTTGGCTTCCATCAGATGCCTGCAATCACATAGCTACAGTCAGAGACAAATAGTAAACAAAATTCATCCTAAAGGATTTATTATATATTCTTTGTGAAAGAAAATAAAATATTTTCAGTGCTTTACTACAATTGGGGTGCCATATGACTTCCGTTCTTCCTCTCAGTGTATTGTAACTTAGTGCTTATAAAAATAGACCCAGCTATTAGAATTGTGTTCACTTACTCACTCTGCCAGTCATTGTGCCATCTTGGTTAAGTTTCTTATCTGCTCTCATTTTTACTTTTCTCATTTGTAAAATAGAGATGATAATTGTATCCACGTTGTGGGCCTATAGTAATTTTAAGTGCAATAACACAGGTAAAGTATCAAATACTAAGTACACATTACCAAAGCTTGATAAATCTTAGCGGTATTTTTGCTAGTAGTACTTACTGCCAAGAAACTCCCGTAAAATCCAGTTAAATGAGATGTAAAGTTTAACATTATTATATCGTTACAATGCAGTGCAACAGATCACTAAACCTTTTTCTCCTAACTTGAACTCTGTACCTGTGACCAACATCTCCCAATACTTGAGTTATTAAAGTTAAAATGAATAAGTAAAATATATTGTACAATATATTTAGCCCAGAATATAGTGAATCAAATCATTTAGAAAATGAAAGGGAAAGGCTTGGACCAAGTACTGACTAGTTATCTTATATAAAAGTTAATATAATTGATTTTATCACTACTCATATTAAATTAAGAATATAGATTGAGATAGAACATCAAGTGGGGGTGTAGCTCAGAGGCAGAGCAAAGAGTTTAAAGATAATTTAAAAATGTTTTCCCTCACTTCAAAACAACCTGAGACCCATGTGCTTCTTCCCAGTATAAGGTCCTTGCTTAGCATCTGGATGGCCATCTTCAATGACAGCCCCCATTTTAAGAAAGATTTTACTTTCCTGCCCAAGGGCCTAAGAAAGGCTCACCACTCCCTTTTACCAACTCCACCCTTAACCACCCCCATTCGGGCTCGCCCAGCTCTAATCCCTGAGCTTGCCTCATAAAAGTCCTAAACCCCAAGCCTGTTTTGCCTCTCTCCATCTATGGAGAGATGTGCTTTTATTTGTCAGCTCTGACCAATAAACTCTTGCGTGTATCTCTGCCTCGGCTCTGTCTTTCTTCTCTCGCTTGCCTGTCTTCCAGTTCCTCACTTTCCTTTCCTTGGTGCCAAAACCCAGGATTGGGTTCCCTGGTGTGCCCATTCCTCTCTTCAAGGGTCACTGAGTGTCTCCAGGCCCCTATCTGAATTCCATTATGGGAGCAGGCCCTCCATTCTGCCAAATACCCTCTCTGCACTCACCACTATTTCAGGTAAGACCCCTGTCTCTGGTCAACCTAAACAACCTTCAGGTCCCTGGAAGTGACTGTTTATCTTTCGTTTGGCACTCCCAGGGTTACCGTGTGGTCAGGGCACCCACAGCCACAACTTTTACAGCTACGGCTGATCCCTACTCTTGACCGAGTTTATAGGTGGACTTTTATTTGGGTCTTGGGTTTTGAGAAAAACCACCAAGGGTGATGGGGAGTTGTTACTGGTGAGACTACCTCTTGGCCTTGGGTTAATCTCTATGGTTTTTGCCCCTATGTAGTCCCAGCCGGGTGCCCAAGTGCCTCTACAGGTCCTGCTTCTGATGCTTACCCAGCAGTGGTGACAACCTCCTGAGCATTACCAGTCCTCTTGACTGGGTGACACTAGAGACTGGGCGACACCCAACTCTAAACTCACCTTCTGTATCTCATCATGGGTGGCTCCTCATTCATTCCTTCCATAGTCCTCTAGGCTGCCTCCTGGCTAACCTAGGGTCTCTCTCTCTCACCCTGGACCTAAACCCTAAAAACGTATTCATTTGTGCAATCAGATCTGTCCTCAATACCCTTTGGACTCTAAATGGCCTCTTAATGGCTCTCTAGATTCCAATATTATCAGGGATCTTTTAAACTATTGTGAACATTCGGTAAAATGGAAAGAGATATCATTCATTCAGGCTTTCTCCTCTCTATTCTAAGCCCTCTCTCTGCAACTCTTGCTCTCCTGCACAAGTTCTCTTAGCTCTCTCCTCCCCTATGCCTGCTTCCAAAGGGACAAAAGATTCTACCCAGGACTCCTCCTTAGACCCAGCAGATGAGCTCCCACCACACCATAATTCTCTTTCTAATGAAGCCTCTGTAGCAACTGTTCCCTTGGCCCCTCCACCTTTGATGTCCTCCTGCCTGAGGAGCCCAGGCAAGTTTGGGAGCAAGCTAGAAATTATGCAGATGAGGTACATCAGACTTCCCCTGCCCATCCAATTGGCATTGAAGCAGTTCCTGATTGGGACCCCAATTGGGTTTATAATTTGCCTGGAGAAGTAACCAAGTAGAAACCAATTCATTACTTGCCTCATGGCAGGACTTAGAAAGGCAGCCCATAAGGCTATCAATTATGAAAAGCTCCAGGAAGTCATCCAAGATAAAAATGAAAACCTTCAGCATTTTTAGACCGCCTGGCCAAGGCTTTATTACAATATACTAATCTGACCCTGAGAATCCAGATGGAAGACAACTACTAATGGTCTACTTTTTCTTCTAGAGTTTCTCCAATATTAAAGCCAAGCTAAGGTGCCTCGAGAGGGGGCACCTAACTCCCCAAGCTGAGGTTCTGGGAGTACCCTTTAAGGTGTATAACAGGAGAGAAATATTAGATGTTCACTCAAGTCACCTGACTGGCTTCAGCATCTTCCCCTGGTTCCACTGGCCCATGGAAGAGTCCCTCAGGACTGCCTAGACCCTGTTTTAAATGTGATCAATGGGTCACTTGGCTTGTACATGTCTCAAGCCTCGAAAGCCTCTGGGCTCATTTAGGAATGCCATCAGGAGAGACAATGGGCCGTTGACTGTCCCCAAGTCCATAGCAGCCCCCAGCTATCCAGCCCTTTTAGCTCTCCTTTCCAAATCTTAGAACTGGCTACAGAGGACTGACGAGGCCCAGGTCCCCATCACTCAACCACTACCATCACTCCATGGGAACCCAGGGTAACTCTGCGTATTTCAGGTAGGCCTGTCTCCTTCCTTCTATACCCCGGGAGATACATATTCAGTCCTCGAGGAGTTCTAGGGGCCTACTACCAACACTTTACAGACACCTAGCCTTGTTTGTGCTTTTGGTTCTTACCCACTCCTTTTTGGTTATTCCACAGTGCCCTGTTCCCTTTATAGGAAGGGACATCCTCACAAACTTGGTGGCTATGCTTTCCTTCTCCCCTCATATATGCTTCCATCCAAACTCACCTGCTGCTCCCCTGATCCTCACCCTTACCTTAGGACCATCCCCTATTCCATCTGCCAGTGCATTCCCATTACCCCCTTCCAAGGTGGACCCTACCATCTGGGATGTTTCCAGTCCTTCTATCTCCTCACACCGTGAGTCCATTCACATCTGTCTCAAAAGCCCTCTCCATTTTCTGACCCAGTCACAATACCCGCTCTCCCTCCTTGCTGCTGCTGTCCCTCTTTTTGCAGAGCAGCCTTGTCAGGCTCCTGACAATAAACCCACTTCTTATCCCAGGTTTGTGATTAGTCCTGAGCCACTTTTCTTTCATTGATGCCAGTGACTCCATTACGTGCTCCTATCAGCTTTGCTCTCCTCTCTGGGGATTTGAGCTGCTTTGGGATCCTGGCCTGAGGGCCCAGGACAATTACCACACACCTTCTTTCATTCACCTGTTGCTCTTCTTCTCTATCCACATTTCAGCCTCATTTGAGTAAATAACTTCACCCTTCCCCTCCCCTGCTCCTCACAACTCTACAAGTCTCCTCTCTAGAACTTAGATCTTGGCCCAGCACCAAGATTCTCACCCATCTCTTCCCCTGGGTGAGTTCACTCCAACTCGCCATGGGAAACTCCCAATCCCTTCCCCTTGGAGAGTTTACTCTTGGGTCTTGGTTCTCAGCTCCTTAGTGGAGCTCACGAAAGCCCTAGCCAGGCAACCAAGACTCCCATAGGCAAAGCCCGGGACTATGAAAGTAGTGGGTGATTCCCTTCTCTCAGTCCCAGACTCCAACTTGTCATGGGGAACTTCCAAATCCCATCTGACTCACCTGTTGGCTGCCTCCTCACCCACTTAGCCCCACTCCGTTTGGCTCCTGATCTAAAGTCCCATCCACCAATTCAACCTTCCAGTCTTTACAACTTTTGTGAGCGCTCAGGAAAATGGAAGGAAATCCCTTATGTGTGAGCTTTCTCCTTTCTCCATTATAAGCCTTCCCTTTGCTCTTCTTGCTCCTCTGCCCAGCTTCTATTTGCTACTAAAACTCTGGATTCCTCCAGAGGCCCTATATCTAGACAAACAAGAGACCCAGAACTCTCCTAATCGGAGGGTCTTGACTCTACTTGCCTACAAATGTTGGCTGCAGCCTCTTGACTCATTAATGAGTCAAAAAATTCACCTTTGGGGCCCCATTTATCATCCTGGTTCCCCATCACCTAAAGGAACTCCTTACCTACAAGGGCTTACATTCCTTACCTCCCTGTTGCCTTTTATCTCTACAGGATTCCCTGGTAGAAGATCCCAGTCTTATTTTCCACATGTGCTCACCTTTAAATTCTGCTACTCTCCTCCCTGCTCCTCAGGACTCTTCCACTTCTTCTCTTCTTACCCATTCATGCGTTGAAACTTTGGAGGAGTTTCTTCCATATCCCTCCCACCTACAGGAAGGCCCCTTGCTCCGCACAAAATACAGATGGTTCACAGATGGCTCCTCCTTCCTTTAGGAAGGAGTTCATTGGGCAGGTTATGCCATGGTCTCTCTAACCTTGGTTGCAGAAGTGGCTCCCATCCCCAATAATACATTCAGTTAGCAGGCTGAACTTGTTGCCTTCATCAGAGTCTTCACTGTGGCAAAGGGAGCCTCCCTCAATGTCTATGCTGACTCTAAATACGCTTTCCACATACTTCTGTCCCATTCTGCTATTTGGAAGGAACATGGATTCCTTACCACCAAGGGAACTTCAATTACTAAGGCCTCCTTTATCTCCAATATCTTTCAGACCTCAAAGCTTCCCACTGCCATTGGAACTGACGGATGGCAGCTAAGTAACCCCCTTCTCCAGTGGGAACTTCCTTTTCTGACCTCTCTCCTTGTCATAGGCGTTTTACTAATGCTTGTCCCCTGTATCATTAGATTTATTCAAGACCATATTCAAAGGATCTCTAACCAAATGTGAACCAGCTTCTGTTATAGGATTTCCAACCCCTCGCCAAAATTGGGCCCTCTGGAGTCAGCATCACCTGGTGCCACCTGACCATCACCATTGCCTCAATGGCACACAACACCCCTCACAAGGGTCCACATGCTGCCCCTTCCCAGCAGGAAGAAGCTACGGAAGATTAAATCTATGCCCCTGTCCCTTAAGGGGCCCAATACAAAGAAAAATATCCTTGCTTAGCACCTGGGATGGCCATCTTAAATGACAGCCACCATTTTAAGAAAAATTTCACTTTCCCTCCCAAGGGCCTTTCTGAGGGAGGCTCACAACTCCCTCATACCAACCCTACCTTTCACCACCCACATTAGGACCTGCCCATCTCTAATCTCTGAGCCTGCCCCATAAAAGTCCTGAACCCAAGCCTGTTTGGCCTCTCTCTGTCTATGGAGAGATGTGCCTTTATTTGTCAGCTCTGACCAGTAAACTCTCTCATGTATCTCTGCCTGGTCTCTGTCTTCCATTTCTCACTTTCTTGCCTGTCTTCCCATTCCTCACTTTCCTTTCACCCAGGAGTGACTCTGAATCTATAGTAAGGTTGAAAAAAATGTAATATTTTCTACAAACTACATGTTTAAAGTCCTTCTTTAACACAAAATTATGCTTGCTTGCTTTTTTTTTCTTCTCTATTTATCAAAAACATACAGGGAAACCTGTCCTTCAGTGCTTCAGTGTCAGGTGATTTCTGTCCTCATGAAAGTAATAAAAGTACCAACCCCTTCTCATGCTGACAAGACTTAGGCTGCAGGTGGAAGTTGTTCTTTCTGCTGTAAGTCCCTGGACCACTTGTTTAGTTGAGGATCAACTGAGGATTCCACCTTCAGTCAGGCAGGAGTACTACAATTAATGTCTGGACACTGACAGTGTGTATGAGCTGGAATAAAGGCAATTGGAAATCTTTGTTCACTGGTTATTGTGATACAAAAGAATCCTAATCTGGCCCAGTGAGGCTGTTAGGAAAACAAAGTGGTTAGGGTCACGTCTCCATTTGTTTTTTGCCTGTGTCCAATTCTTATTATGAAGGTTCAGTATGGTTCATGGATCTACCTTTAAATGCCATACTCCACACCCCATCCAGATTATGTTGCTCCATTATGTACCAGCTGTGTCCTTGAATCAGAGCAGGCCCACTAGGGCAGATAACCAGTAGTCTGCAACCGGAATTGCTTGAAGTTCAAGTATTGTAGCACAGCATCTGTATCAGGCTTATTTATTTATATGGCTTTTGTATTTGTTCCTGTTGAAATGCGCATATGATATATTAGAGATAGAGTCATGTCTTCTACTAAATGCCAAATAGTTATGTGCTGTCATCACAGAAATGCCCACCATTTATGCAAATGTCTAGAAATTCATTCTGCATTTTCAGGATTTCCTGGATTAGGGCATGAACAGATTAACCCCTGTGCTGATTACAGCCTTGAATTGACTCCCTAACAATGAGGGGCTCTTCAATTTATTATTGCTTCCAACTATAAAAATTTCCTCTATTTTAATGATGAAATCAAAAGCTATTATCTTGCCTCCTTGGGACTTTCTACTTAATTTCCATTACTGGTGAGTTTTGTTATACTTAGGGTTCAGAAAACAGCTTGTCTTCTTGTATACTCAATTTCCTCATCTTAAAAATAAAAAAAAATAATAACAATCATTGTGAGGATAAAAATAAAATATATATAGATGGTCCTTGATTTAGAATAACTCAACTTAAAATTTTCTAACTTTACAATAATGCAAAAGTGATATGCCTAAAAGTGACTAACATGAAATAAGAACTTAAATGTATTAGTCTTATCCTTTTTGGCTATTGTGGGGATGGATCCAGAAGGGGTCTATCGTCCAGTGGTGAATGAGGTGCCATGGGCTCTTGGGCAGGTGGCAGTGAGTGTGCAGCAATGATTCCCAAGATGCTCTTCCAAATGTGACTTAGCCCATCCATCTGCTATCTGACCTGATGACATTGAAAGACCTCTGCTTGTCCTATTCTTAAATATCTCAAGGAGAGGAAATGGCTCAAGTGCTTTGTAAGCTTTGCTAAGTATTATCAAAAGCTACAGCAAATACGAAAGTGACTATTTTTAGGTAAAACAATTTCAGAATTATCTCAAACTAGATAAAACCATGAGGTGTATAGTTTAAGTCTTAGATTGCTCTATACAACTAGGTGGAAGAGATAGTCTTCAAATATCCCCCCAAGCAGTCATATCATACAGTGAGAAATTCTAGCCTTAGAAGAAATAGTTTGAAAGTGTGCTAAATAAATACCATATGAAAGCAACTTAAGTGATTCTTGCATGATTATAAGAAGATACATTTTTGAAAGAAGGGGATTTTTAAGAGGAAATAGTAAATGATAATTATGAAAATTCTTTCAATTTTCTTGTATCATGGCCATTGTTTTGCAAGTACTGAGAATATGGAATCATACCGTGTGTATTCTTGATATGAAGTTAATTCTTTCCATTTTCATTTTTGTTAAGAGAACTTTATATCGTATGAGTGTGTGTGTGTGCATGCATTTGTATGTGCTTAGGGAGAAAATGGCTATCTCTGTCTAAAGACAATATCCAGAGAAATTATTCTACAGAGAACAGGAGACAATATTATTCCATGTTATTTATGTCTGTGATCTATATTACATTAAGTGCTGTTTGTCAAGAAGATGTATACGAATACATTTTCATTTCACAGCAATCTCAGTTTCTATTATAGTCCTGAGAACAACACAGGGTTTTTCTTAAACTAACAATGGTCACTTTTTATAATACAAGTTCTGACTTTAACATATTTATGCTCATGTCTATTTAAATTTCTCCAGGTATTCCTATCAATTTTGGGAGTGTCTGACTTATGCAGTAGGTTCATTTGCCACAGTATTAAAGTGACATATTTAATAAAGGCTACAAAACATTGAATTACTGGTTTCTAGATGAGGTGGAAGTTCCTGCTCTAATCTCATGTCACCGCATTCTGATTTTGTGAATGTATGTCAACTAGTTTGTGACAGGAAGTATGGCATTTGGGCCTTCAAGTGTTACTTGTGTGATTCCCCAAGGTGTCCAAATTGATGTCCTCCCAGGCTCTTTGATGTGTGATTACAAGTCTGCCATCGCTGTGCATGGATTTCCTTGACTGTGCTCAAACCATTGCCTGATGT